TCAACCATTTCCATTATTCCCTGAAAAGGTTTTTAATCATTTTGTAATCCATTCAAAAAGTAAAAAAAGGATTAAAGGAAAAAAAAAAATCCTTTCTTGGAGTCCATTTAGGGACACAGGTAGTCTTAAAACCCCTGTTTATATTGGGCACTGGTAATAGAAAAACAAAACAAAAAACAAACAAAACTGTAGGCCAGCCCAGGAAAAGTCCTATTTTCAGAAGCCAGGGAGCCCTTCTAGGATGAAAAAAAAAAGGATCAGTCTTTCTCAAAGAATCAAAGGCTGAGAGACAGATAATTGTCCAGTTCTTCGGACTGTGATGGTCTGATAGTTCAGAGGTCCCACTGCATCTGTTGGATCACTGCTGCACTGAAAATATGGGCACAATAGTAAGCATCTTTGATGTCCACAGAAGCCAGAAAGTCTTCCTGGTTGAGGAAGGCAATAACAACATAAACATTCAGCTCCATGAGATCCAAGATGGGGGTGAATGTCCCTGTTGGGACGCACAAAAGTAGCAAAGGAAAAACTAGGCAGAGACATGGAAATAAAGCTGAGATTTGCAGCCCTGGGACATTATCCATTGCATCCAGGCATCTGGAATGCAAGTTATTCAAGCTTCCACAAAGGTTGACAGACATCCCTCCACTCTTGAATGTGGGGAAACACCTTCATACGGAGGCTTGTCTGAGGATTTGGCAGACTTGGAGGGCCAGACTTTGTAGGTAAATGGAGGCTTAGGTGGCCACAACATTGAGTGAATGAAGAAACCAAAGAGTCATTTGATGGGGAGCAAGGAATGACTTGTCTGCCTTCTCCCTAGGTTACTTCAGTTCAGGAAGATGGGTGTTGTCATGTTGGTACTTGACTCCTTGCGTATCTAAATTTGCCCCCAACCCCCCCCCCCCCACCTCCTGACATGTTTTCGGGGTTGTAGAGAGCACAGCACTCTTCTCCACATCTAATGGTCCTGCCCCACGGGGTCCCATAGCAATCTGTTGGATCACTGATGCACTGAAAATATGGGCACATTAGTAAACATCTTTGATGTCCACAGAAGCCTCTCTGGTTGAGGAAGGCAATAACAGAACAAACATTCAGATCCATGAAATCCAAGAAGGGGGTGAATGTCCCTTTTGGGTTTGGAAACAGTGAACAGGTTAGAGTAAACCCTCCTATAACCATTTTGCTGCATCTCATGGTCGTGCTCCAAGGCCTCTCACTTTTGGATATGTGTATATAACTTTATTAGATCAGTCCTACTTGTTAATCTTGCCTGTAACCCGTGGGAAGCAGTTTACACAGGCCCATCTCAGTCAAAAGAAGTAAAAGAAAGTTGGGGGGGTCTAGGTTCCTGGCAGCTCAACAAATGTTAGCCAAAGCCTGGAGACAACCAACAATCAATTTTTCTGAGGTTAAAACAGAGGATCATGAGGACTGTTCTACATGAAAAATTCACCCCCATACTCACTGATACCCTAATACGGTAGGCTTCCAACAAACAGTCACAACTGATACTAAATGCTACAGCCATCTACTCCATGTGTTCAATGAGCAAGGGATCAACTGAAGCAGTGGTTAGATGCTTTTTAGGGCATTTTGACCAGTGAGACGTGGTTTGACATGGTAAAGTAACAGCCAGAATCAGGTGTGGGACACACCAGGAACAATATAGCTCCAGAGAAGGTCTCCAACCACTTACTGATGGGGTCATTTTGATGAGACCCGGCCAGATCCACAGTGTGGATGGACAATTTCTAAATATTATTTATTTATTTCAGGTACTTATATAGCGTCAATTTACGCAGCACTTTACATTTATATTGTACATTCACATCAATCCCTAACCCTCAAGGGGTGTACAATCTAAGGTCCCTAACGTACATTCATGTATGCACATACTAGGGCCAATTTAGACAGGAAACAATTAACCTACCAGCAGGTCTTTGGAATGTGGGAGAAACCGGAGTACCCGGAGGAAACCAGAGTACCCAGAGGAAACCCATGCAAATCTTCATGGATACAAAGCTAATAAATGCTTAAAGTATTACTAAACCCAGGATCCTGCATTCACTATATCTGGTCTTCCACAGTACACAGAACATGGAAGTGCAATTATTTTAGTAAATATAAAGTTCTAAATACCTTTTCTCATCAGCAGTTAGAGCAGTCTTGTGACTTCTACCAGTGTCCAGCCAAGCACTGGTTAAAGTTTGTAGGAGGAGTTTTAATTTGCTCTAGGAGGAAGCAGACCCCCTGACCTCTATCTGGACAGTGCCGATCACATGCACTCTTCCAAGGAAAAAAAAAAACCACCTCTCTAGCAATACGCAGAAAACGGAGCATGTGCAGAGTGATTCCACACGATATGTCTTATCAGGATATTAGAGGGGGGCACTGGAAGAAGGGGAGGATCAGAGAAGTTATGATCAAACAGCAGTTTTACACAATGCAGATTAACCCCTTAGGTTCCAAAGTGAGAACAAGCATGCTTTACTGCAAATACAGACTGATTTTACTGCTGTGGGTTTAGTAACACTTTGAGAACAAACAACTTGGCAGGGTGCTTCCATTCTCTGTACAGAAACAGTTGGAAAACTGGGCACACTGGGAAAGTCTTTGCAGCTTTATGAGTTGTAAATGGCACAAGCCTTGAAACTGCACTAGTAGAAGAGACTGATCCTAATTTCAGAGTGATGCATGCTGTGTCAATAGGAGCTGAAACTATCTTCTTTACATTGGGTGTAACAGCAGCAAATCCAGGCAAGGATTTTGCAACTCAGAATCAGACAACTGTTTAGATACACAATTTGCTGGAGAGGGAATGGGAGCGTGCTGCTGGCCACTGCGATCAGTCTGAAACCAGCTGGGTAATTTGGGTCAAATTCTTGCAGCACCATGAAACCTTAATGAAAATGGCAGAGGTATTTACCCTTCCACGACAGACTGTCAGGAAACCGGGTATAATTGCTCTCCATTATCAATAAAAATTGGGGTGCACAAAGCATTCGGCTCAGCCAACTTACTTACTAAGTGAGTCTTCAAAAACAGAGCAAGAAAAGAGGAAATGTCAGCAGCTCTGGACCTGGAAAATGCTACAAAGCTAACTTAACCAGAACGTAGTCTAAAAGCACCTCGCACAGAACCCAGTGACAGAGAATCACTTCCAGGCGAGCATTGTGATGCCCAGTACAGTGGAGTCTAGATGCAATATGATTCAAGGCAGGGCTCAGGATGACCATGCCAGATCATTGAAAATCAGAGGGAGAAACTCCAGCAGTGCAGTAGAGAAGAGTATGGATTGAAGAAAAAAAACTGAAAAAAGCACTAGTAAGTTTATTCAATTTTAGTTTAATAGTAAAAGAAACAGGTCGTTGCAAGATCAGAGCTAAAAAAAAAAAAAAAAAAAAAAAAAAAAAAATGTATTCTCCTAGGACATTAGCAAACAACTGAGGTATGCTGGTGGTAGGAGGGGTTATCCTGGGCTTGCCCACAGTTCTCCTGTAGACAGCTGTATAACCCGAACATTTAAGACTGTGTCCCTCAGTGAAGAAGAAAGAAATACGTTTTGGCTTTAGATATACTTTATTAAATCCTCTGAGATCTCAGAAATCTGTGATAATCTGCAACAAGGATTGGCTGCCTCAATGACCAATACTGGAGGAGCAGGAGGCAGGGGTGGAAGGGCCGAAGCTGAGCTGCAGAGGCGGAGTTTCCAGGTTTCTGGGACACACCTTAAGATTGCAAGCACATTTCAAATAAAGACAGGCTTCTTTAACCACTTCCATCCCTTAGGACATACCTGTACGTTCTTGGGAGCAAGTGGTTAAGGGCTCGAAAGGGCCCCCCTCCCTTCTTCTGCCACGGAGCCCAGTACCGCTACAAACAGTGGAGCTGGCTGCCGACAGAGAAGGAAGAACACTTATTCCCCCCTCCTCTGTGTCAAAGCCAGAAATGGAGGATTTCCTTACTTCTGGTTTTGGTTGTTTACTGCTGTTACCAGCCAGTGAAGCAGACAAGCAAACTGATCCTGCTTTGAAGGGTAGAAGAGGATCAGGGGTCTAATAGAGCTAATAGATCTCTCCATAAATATGACCTGTGACTGCGCCAGCTATCACAAGGATTGTTGTTCATCCTTTGTGATAGCAATAAAGTTGAATACATAACAAATGAAAAAAAAAGTGTTGAAAGAAAAAAAAGTAGTAAAGCACCCCTGTCCCACTGTGCTCATGTGCAAATGCAAACAGACACGCAGGTCCCGTACGCATAAATAAATGGCGATTGTACTACACAAGGTATCGCTGCAAACATCAGAGCACCAGAGCTCATGTTTACCACTAAACTGTTAACCTGTAAAGGCTTTTAAAGCATCACCTATGAAGATTTTTATGCACTGTAGTTTGTCAACATTTCATGGGCGTGCAAAAATTTTAAATCTTGACATGTTTGGTATCTATTTACTTGGTGCAATGTCATCATTTTAGGTTACGAAAAATTAGGTTTAATATTGTGTTTGTGTGCATTTAATTTAGGTGTATTTTTTCCTGAAAATTTGTAATTGATATACAGGAGTGCAAATATTGTGTGAAATAAATTCCAACAGGCCACCATTTTACTTTCCAGGGCCTCTGCTTTCAGAAAATATATGTCTGGGGTTCATTTTCTAGCAAAAAAAGAAAATGCAGATTTTCACATGTACTGTATGTGAACATTTTCGAAATTGCCCTGGCCAGTTAGTGGTTAAGTACAGAAAAATCAGAACAAACCACACGATGAACCTTTTTATACAGTTTACACATTTTACTAAAACATCTCCCAAAACTACTCATTCATCAATTAATCTTTTTTTTTTTTATTAGAGGATATTAGCAACAGCTTATACTTATCTTTGCTATTCTACAGCCAGCATTGAGAAGTTGTTTTGGTGCTTTCATAGGTCAGATTACAGCTTCCCCACGGGAAGAAATTATGGAAAGTTAACATGACAGTGTCATCCTCACCTCTGCAGGAATTTCTTGAACACCCTCCTGTAGGCATATCCTGCTCTGCGTACGCGGATGTTTTCCTTCAACCCTAAATATTCTACTTGATGTTTGACCCTGGAGAAAAATTTTAGAAGCCAGTGTTAAGACATTCTTAAAAGATTCAGTTTATGCAAAAATATACAAAACATTTTCCTGGTTTCCTATTACTCAGCTTTGCAGTGAGGACATGACTGACTTGAGATAGACTCATGATCTATCTAATTCAAGTGAATGGGATACGTTTTTCTGACCCAAAACCAGTATGTATGACCTACAAATTTTTATGAGCGCTTAACAGTCCTGGAAAATCACTGACACACACACACATTGCACCAAAACTGATATGCTCCTGACACTTGAAACTGATACCTTTGTGGTGCGATTTGAGTCCATACAAAATTAATGGTCACAAATTGCACTACACAGGATCACATGTGATTTGAACAAGAATGCAGTGTGATTCCTGTCCGTGGTCATGTGGTTTCCCTGTGGGTGCGGTGCGATTTGCAGTGCTATACAAAATTACTCACTCAAAATTGCACTGCACATGCAGAGAAACCGCAGGTGATTTGGACAGGGCCACATTCCTGTTCAAAATCACAGACAAAGAGCACACAGCCTCTAAATGCAGCCATTAACCTTTATTTAAGAAGTATAACATAAGTAAAGTTGCACTCACAATTGTAGGTGTATATAATAAGGCATATCATCCCATGTGTTGACATTGCGCTGTGAAAGTCCCCCTCTACTCTCCTCACTGCTTGGATGACCGTTCGGCTGCCCGCTCCATATACGACTAACATTGACCCAGTGTGCCTCCGCACACACAGACTCCCACAAGCTGTCAGACTCCAAGCCCTTAGCGGCATAGAGGAGCGCTACTGACCGCTCGGTGGCTGTTAGTGGGTGCAGCGATTACCCTGGTCTATTGTCTGACAGCTTGTGGGAGTCTGTGTGTGGAGGCGCACTGGGTCAATGTTACAGCCCTATATGGATCGGGTGGCCAAACGGTCATCCAGGCAGTGAGGAGAGTAGAGTGGGACATCGCAATGACAACACATGGGATGATATGCCTTATTATATACACCTACAATTGTGAGTGCAAATTTACTTGTGTTATACCTATTTAATAAAGGTTATTGGCAGCACTAGGAGGCTGTGCGCTCTCCTTTTTGTCCATGATTGAACAGAAATGCGGTCATTTCCAAATGACCAATCAATTTGGTAATTTCCAAATCCTGCAGGTGCGATGCAATTTGTAGTATGATTTGAGCCATTCATTTTGTACGGCTCAAATTGCACTGCAAATCGCACCACTCCCACAGGGAAACTGCATGTGATTCAGACAGGAATCGCACCTCATTCCTGTTCAAATGACATGTGATTGTTTGCAGTGTGATTTGAGCCTATTCATTTTGTATGAGCTCTAATCACACCACAAAAGGTATCGGTAACTCGGTATAGGCGAGTACTTGATCAAAAGTATCGGTACACATACTCGACGGTAAAAAACTGGTACTGGTGCAACCCATCATCAAGAGCCTTCTCAGAAACCTCCCATATTTCATCACACATACCTATTTTCCTCCCAGTCTCTGGGTTTCTTTGTCTCATTTGGTTTGATGCACCGAATATAATGAGGTGTGCATTTCATCAATGTATTCACCAAGTCATTTGCCTGTTTCTGTGAAGGTTAAAATATTACATGTGATTAAATGTTAACAAAACATTTAGTGGACCAAGTATATATATTTTTTTGCTTACTTACCTTGATCTTACTGCTTGCTGTAGTTGGGCGCCCCTTCTTTTCTGCATGAAGATTTTCTGGAAACAAAGCCTTAATGAAACGCCTGAAATATAAAATGAAACAATGAATGCAAAAAGATCCGATTTTCGGTCCAAAGCTCTTTAGAATATTCAAGCTAAAGGAGTTCACCTTTCATAACATGTTACACCCTTATTTAGGGTGTAACATGTTATTAAATGAGCAACCCCCCGTTGTGACAACGGGTCTGGGCTCTTATCCCCACACCAGCTGTCACAATTTAAACAAAGAAAAAAAAGTGACTGTACAGTGCTCCACCCATCCAGTTGTGTCATTAATTCACAGACATCTGAATAGTAGACTTGCGGCTGACGGTTTTTAGTTTTCAATGAACTATCAGGGCGCTGGTGAGCGCTCTAGGTAGTTCAATGATTCTTCCTCTCAATGTGTAGCTGCCTACCTGTACGAGGTACAAGCAGAAAGATACACTGACAGTCTGCAGGAGCCCTGCATTGCACCTGCGATCTGCTGGTCATGGGTGTAATGCTTTACAGGCTTCTAAATAAAAAAAAAAAAGGAAAAAAAATTATATATATATATATCTATAATTTTCTATGTACATTTTTTTACCTGCAAAAAGACATGCTTTTTTTTTTTTTATGTCAACTTATCCTTTAAGCACAGTGCGTCAGAGATTAGTGCTGTTAATGTGCTCCAGTATTGGGGACCTAAGATTAATTCCAATCTGGGGATGGCAAGAACTGATGTGACAGATGTAGTGTTCTCCATAAAATGGGAATACTATGCAAAAGTATTTAGTGTTTTTTAAATGAATTAATCTAGTTGTACTCCATGATACCAGACTGAAAGTTTTCACCTTCAATTTATTCAGCTTTCCTTGTACCCAAGGGCCTTCTTATTAAAACACTGACCTTGAGAACACATGCCCCAAGATATCTGCTGCCATCATCACGTTAGCTCACAAGGATTCACCCCAGACTAAATGGTCACTTTCATTAATATTAGAGCAGAGTTCCATAGCTGTATTCACATTGTAGCTGCACTACCAGGGTATCTTTCTCTTGTGGTTTCCATAGCTCATACATTATGCATTTAGCCTGTAACACTATCCTCAAACCTAGGAAGGCCTACAAAATGATGATTATTCAGTATGAATTGCCATGTTGTGTTCCTTAAGCACGGGAAATGCTTCCACAAGTAAAACAAGCACAATTAAACAATTGCAATCATTCTTTGAAGAAACTTGAACAAAACAGTGTAGTTTCATGAAGCAGAACTATATACTGTACCTGTGTAATAACCTCATAACAATCCTACAGTCATGCATTTTTTTTTTTTTTTTTTAACCCGTCCCCACACATACAGCTGTAATCAAAACATACAAAATGCTTAACTGACAGGAAGTCCAAACCATGGCAAAATTATACCATACACAGACATAAATAACAGCCACGCACTGTCATCAAAGATTAGCTTGTGGGAAAACCTCGGGTTCTGAAAAGCTCTTACTCTAAGTATTCCTTACATTTCTGGCACCCCATTGTCAAAACAACGAGTCATTTTTAAAAAGCTTTTGTTGGGAAAAATAACCTCTTGGTCTATTTAGAGACCATAACTACTATTTCTTCCCTAGATTGTGGTTTTCTGCAGCATCGACTCGGAAAAAGCCTGTCATACAAAAGGCTGCTCAGATGTGAAGACTGCCAGCTATGCTCAGTGAAAAGCGGGCAGTTCCTATTTCATACGATCTGCGTTATACAGTTTATAAGAGTCTTGCCAATTCTTCTCAGGTGTTGTGTAATGCTACCCATTTTTATTAGATACAGATTGGTAAAAAAAAAATTCACCAAATGAAGAATTTTCTTTCCACTCAATAGGGACCAACATCCAACCAAAGCTGATTTTCTTAATTCAATAAGTTTGTATTGACTTTTCCAAGGAAAAATTGGTTTGGCAAGCAATGAAACAAAAGAAAGAAGATCAATATGCTCGCAGTAACATTTAGATCAGTGAAAAGGGCATAATAAAATATTAGTCAGCACACGAGTGGACCAAAGCGGTCAGAAAAAACACAACATAGCAAAAAATACTACTTAGGAGGAGGTGTGCCCCATGTTCTGGGAGGAGGAAGAATATAACATATTACTAAAAGTTGAAAGAGAAAAACTCAAAAATTCTAACTGTAAAAATACTGACTTAATTCTTAATATTTGTACAGCGTTCAACAGCTCAATAGAAATCCCATCTAAACAATAAATGAAAATTACAAGGCAAAAAGGCCAAGTAAAAAGTCAAAATACCGAACCAACCCAATAATAGATTGGCAGCAACCTAGTCACTTCCAACACGTGCCACAAATATAAAAATAAAGCAGAGCTAGTGCATGACAGATCTTAAATTTCATTGAAAGAATCAAAAAGATAATACATATTGGGGTTGATTTACTAAAACAAGAGAGTGCAAAATCTGGTGCAGCTGTGCATGATAGCCATTCAGCTTCTAAATTCACTTGTTCAAATGAACTTCGGGGAAAAAAACCAAAAACTGGAAGCTGGTTGGTTTCTATGCAGAGCTGTACCAGACTGTGCACTCTCCAGTTTTAGTAAATCAACCCCATTGAATATGTCAAGCATTGTGCTCAGGTCAGAAGTGTCAGTTTGATACTGTTCTAAAACCATACAGTAATACAGTTTCTAACTGCAACCAACTGAATTAATGGCATATTCAAACAGAAAGCACATCAAAAGTCGATTGCAAGGCACCAATTTAGGGGTTCAGACCTAATGGCTGCAATCTTGGATATGAGAGGAACAATTTCTTGTCGGTGCAGATACATTTTGGGAATAAGAAGGAAAGCCACTTTAAGGGCTTCTTCACACCAGGTTCACTGGGCAATCCTAATGCAAGACTCCCTGTAATTGCAGTTTACACCACTGCATTGCTGTAGTGTGTGCTGAATAAAGTACTGCATGCAGTACTTTTTGCAGCACAGCAGGTTGTGATGCAAATTACTGCAGCACAATGCTGTCATGGAAATTGAATTTAAAGTAAATGTGAACCCTTACCTTGTAAAGCAACCAATTCAGTTTAAAATAGAATTGTTTGTGTACATACCAGTAACTTTATAGATTCTAGATAACTTTTCTTTTTCTATAAGTAAATACACGATCTGTGTTATCAGCTACATAAGGGGCTTGGGGAGGTGTGGGTGGAGATTGCAGGGGAGAATTTCAGTAGGAGGCAGAGAAATAGAAGTACACTGAAGAGCTGTGCAGTTAGGTGTGTCAGCACAAGTTTTTACCAATGGAAGGCTGGCTGTGTCCCCAGCACAGCCAGAAAACAGAATGTGCTACCATGCCTATTGGTCAATCAGGGGAACTGGCAGGAACACCAAGTATTTCACACCAAGTAAGAAATGCAAAGAGAACAGTATACTTTTTAACGCAAGTACATAGTACAATAGACACATACCAGGATTATGAAATGTTGGGATAGCATACAATTTAATGAAATGTCAATGAAAAAGAAAAAAAGAGTAACCAATGCAATGTGCTAGGATCTGCACATCAATGAAGAAAAAAAAAAAACATGCAAGAGAACCTGGGACTTTGATGTATGTTCATAAGAAGTAGTGAGAGGACAAAAACATTCGGAGACTGCATTGACTCAAGTTGGGGTACTTACAACAGACAGAGCTACCCTCTTGTGTGCATCCAGCAGGATATCAGGAAAAAAAAACGGCACCAATGGAGGGAGCCCCAGACCAAAGGAGTCCAATTTAATTTATTGGATTACACTAAAGAACAGCCAACATGTTTCGGGGGTCAGAAAAAACTCCCCCTGCATCAGGGCTTCAGTTAAAATAAGAACCTTGAATGGACTAAGAAATTGGGCTTACCTGTGTGAATCTATGTAAGGAAGCCAACTGCTGGATCAGGGAGAGTTACTAGCCAGCAGTATCTGTGTGAGCAGTCAAGACCCGCACATTGGCTCTGTGTACCCACAACGTACACCAGCGATCGTGCGATCAGTGCAGATTGCTGGTGTGAACAAGCACAGCTAAACAGTGAAAAACCTTTTAATCCAGTTACAGTCAGGGCCATAAATATTGGGACATCGACACAATTCTAACATTTTTGGCTCTATACACCACCACAATGGAATTGAAATGAAACAAACAAGATGTGCTTTAACTGCAGACTGTCAGCTTGAGTTTGAGGGTATTTACAGTCAAATCAGGTGAACGGTGTAGGAATTACAACAGTTTGCATATGTGCCTCCCACTTGTTAAGGGACCAAAAGTAATGGGGCAATTGGCTTCTCAGCTGTTCCATGGCCAGGTGTGTGTGTTAAATAATAAGGGATCCTCCTGCGCTCATGGGAATAATTGACAAAATACAGCTGCTGTCACTTAGCTGATACCAATAAGTGCAAAATAAAATTAAAAATTAGTGAAGCGCTTGTATCACATGAATACAATCATGTATCTCCATATAGTGTAATTATAAATCAAAGTGACCACTATATATAATAAATGTGTGTTGACTCCCTCTAGTGAAAAAAAAAATAGTGTCAACCAAAATAGCTAAATAACACACATTAGGAAACTAAATATATAGTGCATAAATCAAATATAATGAACAGAATATATATACGTGAAAACAGAATATTGGCCACATACAATGGTGTCTAAATTATACATAAATGATATATGCCATAGGTGAACAAGACAATATCAAAGGTGAAAAAAATATTCCATGCATGTGACTGTGCTTTAAGCTGGAACACACACGTGATCTCCACTTCTAAGTGCAAGTACTCTCCTTCAAATGGCAGCAATGCCTGCTCACCTCCCTTCCTCGACCCACACAGGGCCTCAAAGCAGTTACCACCTCAGTGGTGTAATAGGCAAAGTTAAAAATTACAAAGTTTTCCACTCACATGCTCCTTTCCATAAAAAAGCGTTTTTCCCAGCCTGTGGGTAGATATGCATGCACCTGGGGGAATCCAATATGGCCACTGTGTCCGGACATACGTCACC